ATAGATATTATACGAAATTAATTTTCATCATTATTATTTTCGAAACGTTCTTAAATATATTCAATAAGATTTGCTTGAAATCTGGTAAGGAACGGTTGCTTGAGGAAACAACTCTCTCTCTTCTTTAAGCAACTCATGTTACCACATCAAAGTCCTCTAATGATAAAAAATCGTGACTTGAGTTGCTTCATGGGACAAGCAACTCCCATTGGAGTTGCTCTAAGTTGCTCAATGTAAATATAATAAGGTTAGTGTAAACTGTTCATATCCATGTTAAAATAAAACGTTAATATCAAGGTAAAGATAAGACATTAACTTTTATCAAAATCACAGTAACTTATAGTTATTTTATGAGTATAATAGCATGTCATGCAATATTTAGTGTTTTGTTATGTTTTAAATAAAGGTCATTCTCTTTTGTATATATGCACACTTTCGTTAACTCATTTTGTGCTTCCTATCATGGAATAGGACAAAAAAAGAAGAAAAATGGTTTTCAAAATGTGTTTGGTGCAACCGAAAAGGAGAAAGTGTGAGAAAATGAATGATAAGTCTCACCTTGTTTCTCCTATAAATCAAATGTATCTAACTATCTAATTAATAAAAAATTAATCTTTACTTTACTTCTTTCTAATTAGTAAACAACTTTAATTTTGAATTTATTTATTTTTTCTTTTATCGTCTATTTATTTGTATTCTCTCGGCTTCCATCGTTACTACTGAACACTTTGTATATATAGAGGAACCCGTTTCCATTCTTGTTACAAAATAAATTATATTTTCCGTTCTTGTTTAAAATTGTTGCACAGTATAGGTACAAGCAAGGCAACATGCAAAGGCATTATAATAACATAATTATAAACTTGTGAAAACTGCGGGCAGCATTTAAACTGAGAATGGGTACGAAAGGAAGTATATATAAAGTGGAACTGAATGATATCTATAATTGGAAAAGGCATAAGGGAAAAGGTAACTAAAGTAGCACAACAGTTGCAACAGAGAGAAAGCACATGGGTTGGGAATGGAAGGGAAGTGAATTTGATAATGTTTTTGTTCCTGCCAAATGGTGGAATAGGGTTTTTTCCTAGATCGTGCCTCACAGCCAGAGCATTCAATAGTGTAATCTGTCTTCTTAATCCTAGGGTTTTGGGTTTATAGTACGTCGTTCATGGGCCTCTTGGGCCCCGAGGATCGAGGGATTTCCCTAACCGTTCTTATCACGATGACGCGGGATTAGCGGGAATAAGCGTAATCGGAATTCGACCGACTGGGCCCATACTAACGGTCCAGCAGGATAAGTGCCGAGTAGCTCCCTTGTAGGCAAGGGAAACCGAGTCTAACGGGTCAAGTCGGACTATGACCGACTAGGTCTATACTGGACCCCCAGTCGGGTTAATGCCGAGAAGGTGGTTTTACTCGCCTTATTTCCGAATGAGAAACCAGGTCGGAAGGCGACCTGGACGGTACACTTGCCTTCCAGCCCTGAGCCTATAAGGCGATAGGGCTTAAGGTCTGGCCATTTGGTCGGCTATTTACCGAGGGGAGGGTTGTTAACGTCCTATACGTCCTATCACTGAGAAAGAGATCAGGTCGGGCTACGACCTGGACGGTACACTTGCCTTCCAGCCCTGAGCCGATAAGGCGAAAAAGGGCTTGTGGCCTGGAAACCTAGTCGGGTTTTTGCCGAGTAGAAATCAGATCGGATTTTTACCTGGACGGTACACTGGAAACAAAATAGGAAACAATGCACGGAAGATTCTATGTTGAATTAGGGGGTCATATAAATTCCGACTCGTTGCCAAAGACGATCAGTCAAACACCGAGTTCCGTACTCAAAATTCTATTAGTTTTCCAAGTAAACTCGGCCAAATGCCGAGTCCCGTACTTACAGTCGCCCGAATCCCGATTCCGTTTTGGGTGAGGAAATTCATCTTTGATTATCCAAATTCTGACTTAAACAAGATAAGAGAAAAAATTTAAGCTTAAAATTAATTAAATGAAGTCGTCAAAATCCGACTGAATTAAGCAACAAGCTTCATATTTAGTCGCCCAAATACCGATTTGAATGAGTTATTTATACTCGCCCAGTCGGATTTAACCGATCAATCACGAGTTTGGTCTTCGAGTTATTTATACTCTCGCCCAGCCGGACTTTTGCCGACAATCACGAGTTTGGTCTTTGAGTTATTTATACTCGCCCAGCCGGACTTTTGCCGACAATCACGAGTTTGGTCTTCGAGTTATTTATACTCGCCCAGCTGGACTTTTGCCGACAATCACGAGTTTGGTCTTCGAGTTATTTATACTCGCCCAGCCGGACTTTTGCCGACAATCACGAGTTCTTCGAGTTATTTATACTTGCCCAGTCGGAATTTAACCGATCAATCACGAGTTCTTCGAGTTATTTATACTCGCCCAGTCGGAATTTAACCGATCAATCACGAGTTTGCCTGCGAGTCAGAATCAATTTTAAAAATAATGATTTTTATTATTTGATAGTACCTCATTAAAAACCTTGACCGCGCATTCTCCTCTTTCAGGCCGTTGATCAATGCCATCATCTCCTCCATGGTAAGGTGATATATCTGGCGGACCATCTCCAAACTGATTGGAGGGTGGCTGAATGTAGGTCGTTTCTATTAACAGTTGCATCAATCGAGGACCAACCTTTACTTGAGCTCCTTGACCCCAGGGTTTCCAATTATCTTGTCCCCGAACTACTCGCATTGCTTGTTGCTTCTTCTGTTTTTTGATCAAACCCGCAACTCTCTTCCGAAGTATGTTATTTTTTTTTTATCCATTTCCTCGTTTTCTTTAGTCTGTTGTCCTCCTTGTACAACACACGTAAGATCAGATGATTTGTCTGTGGTTGTTCTCTTCTCCCTCCTCATAAATTGGTGTATCCTAGCCTCGTGCTCAATGGTTTCACCTATATGACAAGCGGCTTGAATGACTCGAGCAGTGGCGACCCCATTGGAATTGGTCATCAACAAGGCCATCAACTTGTGCATGACGACCACAACCATCATGTCCGCAGGAACAATGACTTCATGTAGGGCAAATTCGGCGCAAGCTTCTGCTCGCGCATGTCCTCCAACAGTTCCTCGTACTCCCTCAAGCATTTTTCATGTTCAAGAAAGTAATAATGTGTTAGTTCACTTTAATTTTTATTTCCATTGAGAGATATGGAAAATTAGCATCTAACCCAATTATAACCGACATTTCTACTCATAATTTTTAGTTTTTATTATAACCATTATGAATCATAAAGAATATTCCCCTGGAGAGCAGTTGTTTTATTTATTTATTCTTTTTTTTGTATAGACTACAAGTATCTTCCGCTGAAGTATCCTTCCTCCGCTGAAGATAATCCTGTTCTGTTGCCGCGATAGGATCAACTATGGGCGCAAAGCAACATTATTATTATACCTTAAAAGAGATGTGACATTTGGCTACAATTCAACAGGGAGTATGAGTCACCAACCTCAAATCACCAAAAGAAAATTCTCCAAAGAACACAAAACAGCACGAACCAAATAGAACCAAATAATAATAAGGCTAAAACACTAATTTGGTCCCTTATATTAATTGTTTGTTTCAATTTAGTCCCATTTTAATTTTTGGTTTCAATTTGGTCCCAAATTAATTAATTGGTTTCAATTTGGTCCCTTAAAAATTAATTGGTTTCAATTTAGGACTTCCGTCCAAATTATTTAAACAGAGTTAACTTTTGCCCACGTGGATGCCACGTAGATACATACGTGGATACCACGTGGATGCCACGTGGAT